GTAAACATTTTTTGCTGGAAAATTTATCAAAGAAAGCATTATAAGTACCTAAACACAGTCATTGAAAAATTTTGGTAAACTTTAAGCAATGCAGCTTTTTGATAGTATTCTCAAAATATGCTAGGTGCCAACTGCAACTCCAGAAAACAGCGATTATATTTGACGTATGGAATCATTGGTTACCTTTCGATTTTAATTTCAGAGTAGCTGGTTTTAATCCATTTTTATGGCAATAAGTACTATGAAGACCAATTATCTGTGGAAGCCATTTGTAATGCATGCTTATAAAAGCAAGTCATCAGTGCAAAGAAGATGCTGACCTTGCTAATGTCCATAATAGCTGAGCACATATCTATTGAATGATTAACTTAAAGTTAATAACAAGTGTTAAGGAGGGTTTAGAAGGCGAGAAGAGTGGTACAGAAATTTGAAATAAATAAATAAATAAATAAATAAATAAAAATAACACCTGAAAAGATGTTGTAAAATATCAGAAGACTGCTGCTATGAACCTTGACCTTGTAGTATCTCCTTAGGATGCTTCAACCAGGAATTAGGGATCCATATGGAGTTTATATTGCTCATTCAATAACCAATTCCTGACCACAGAATCAAAGGCAAGGGGAAAAAGAACCTCAATAAAACTAGATGTCTTAGGCTTTCCATTTCATATTTTCTAGAATGAGATAGAAATGATAATGATGACCATTTTGTAATAACTGAGTCTGAACCTCATCTGCCCTTCTTAGAGAACATTATCATGAGAAACTGAGACTTACAATTTTTTAAGAAGGAAATTGTTATTGAAGAATAAAAAACAAAACAAGATTATAGTATTTCTGAGAACTAACAATTTTCTTTAAACAAAAACGTAAAAATTTACAGTGGATGATGCTGTATGAACTCATTCCTGGGAAGTTAATGAGAGTTCACAAACTGGAAAGTCTCAGAGCCCATCAGTGGGAAAAGATTAAGCACTTTTGTGTGCAGAACAACTTTATTAATTTGTTTAAGGTATTAGTATTTAAATCATTAATGGCTTTAATAGTCAATGCACTTATTCCATGCTAAGAAAGTAACCTTTAATTTCTACTTAGAAGGCAGAGAGAATTTTAAAGCAAAGTGATTTAGGCTGATTTATTAACATATACAAAACCCCAAAGGCTTTAGAGAGCAGGTGTACTTAGAGAATTACAAGTAGTTCAAGTAATCCTTGATTTCTAGCGTGGAAGGTGGTGTGTGAGAGATTGGGTGGGTTGATCCTGTTAAAGAGCTGTGTTTACCAATCCAGAGAGTTTGGAATTCAAATAGGGAATTTCTGAAAATATTTTAAAATATTTAAGTAGAAAAATACTTTATTGCATTTTTGAAAGTAGATCCAGGAAGCAGTGTGGAGGATGCATTGAAAGGAGGCAATTCAGTAAGGATGCTATTAGATCAATTCTGGGGAACAATTTGTAAGGGTGACATAGGAGACTTACAGTGAGCTAAGGAAAAGAGAAGGAGTAAGTACATTAGAATAGGCTGTCTAATGATTAATTTGATATTCAAGATGAGGCATCAGCAATGATTCTTAGGCTTCTGGCTTGGGATAGTTAGGTGAAGGTTCTAGTCACTGAGATAAGACAAATAGCAAAAGGCCTATATTGGGATTTGGTGAAAGGGTGAGAATGATGAGCTCAGTGCACAGGCTCTGGAATGATACTTCTTGGGTTCCAATCCTGGATTGTCACTTCATAGCCATGTGACATGGGAGACTTAACCTCTCTGTTAATGAGTTAAGTTAATTCATACATATTATTACTGATAACTGCAACCCCTTCATAATCTCAACCATTACCTCACTCACTCTTGTAACCTGACACCGATAACCTTGATTCCAAAAATCTTTGATTCCACTGTAATTCACCAGGTATTGTTCTTAACATCTGTTATTGTGCCTCACTCTTCATGTCCTTACTTCCCTCATTTCTCAGCTTAAATTCCATGGTCAATCCTTATAGTCACTCCCTTGCATACCCTCTTAACTCCCTTGCTACTCTCTCCTTTTATCACATTGGGCAAAACAGTCTCCTTAAGACTGGGCTATGCCTATTCTACTTTTAGAGCCACAATATAACTGAGGAAACATGACCTAATGTGCTCGGAGAAATATACTCATCCAAGCTTACTGGTCTTGTTCTACATGTATGATTAAGTGACTGCTCATTATTCCCTGGCAATCATATCATATTTCTTTGATCCATGGAGCTTCCAATTTCCCAGGTGACTGTTGTGAAACTTCTTCCTAATCCTTAAACTGCTCATATGCCTTCTACCATTCTTACTCTCAGCAATGACTGAGTGTCCCACTTCTCTGAGAAAAATCAAAGTGTCATATCTTTTTTCCATTACTGCCCTCTCAACACAGAAGCTAGATTATTCTTTTAAAAATGTAAGTCAGATCATTCCCTCTTCTGGTCAAAATCCTCTAATGGCTTCCAACTTCATTCAGAAGAAAAGCTAAAGATCTTTTATTGTAAGAGCTACACTGGCCTAAATTGCCCTACACGATATGAAATCTTATGACATCTTTGACCTTCTCGTCTGTTCTTCCTCCTGCAGACTCAGGTCCAGACACGACTTCTTTTGATGCCCTTCAGATATGTTAGGTCTTGGAGTCTTTCCTTGCCCTCCTTGCTGACTACTCTGTCTGTGAAATTCTGTCCCCAGATAGCCACATGGATGACTCCCTCAACTCTTCACTCGACTATCTCCCTGATGAACCTTTCTTGACTGTCTCTTTTATAATTTTAGCTCCAGCATTACCTCTCTTCTTTTCCTGCTTTAAATTTAAAATACAATCAGTATTCTAATAAATAATTTACTTACTACATTGTTTATTGCCTATTTCATCCCAATAGAACAAAAACTCTAAAAACTCTATGATTTAGCTTTTTACTGTTTCTCTCCCTACCTATAATACTATTTGGCACATACTGGACACTCAATAAATGCTTTTTAAATGAGTTAATTAATACATTTAGCATAGTAGCTGGTATAATATACATGCTCAATAAATAAAAGTTATCATTAATACGTTAAATAATAATGATGCACTGGGCATGTAAAACAACACGAGACCTCCAGGTTGCAGCTTTATAGGTTTGAGATTGAAAAGAGGAAGATGAGCTTCATATAAATTAACATGGTAATGAAATCAACTAAATAAACAAGATCCCACTGGGAAGAATGTTAAGAGTGGAAAGCTGTGACATGTGAGGGCACAGCACAGGGTTGCACCAATGTGGGGCAGGCTGAAGTCGTGAAAAGCCAGGAAAGATGCTAAAAGGAAGTATCCAGAGAAACAGCAGAAAGATCAGGAGAATGTGCTATAATGGAAGTCAATGAAAGGTAGACATTTGCGAAGGATGAGGTAGTCAATAGTGCCTAATATTTCAGAGAGATAGCGCTGAGGAAATGATAAAACAGCAAACGTTGAGATTCAAATGATTAAAACTGAAGGAAGATTTAATGATTGAAAATAAATCTTCAGACTCAAAAGTGTCTAAAAAAGCAACGAAAGGGTTTGCAAGATTGTTAGAAGGCAAGAATATTCGTGTAACACATGTTCTTTAGCTTTGATTTTCTCAAAGAAAGAAAGGATAGAATAATAAAAAGAATCTATCTCATGTTTGACTTTATGTGACCAGAGGTTGTCATAAGTAGTCCCCTGACTCACTGAATTGAGATAGGTTTACACAGACTGCTGGATGGCAGGATGACACAATAGATTTCTTCTTAGAGTTAAAATCTGAGATCAAGGATGCATCTAAACCAATAAAATTACTATACATTTTAAAAAGAATGAAATTATGCAAAAATCCTACAAGTCCTTTCTCTTTAAGAATAAAAATAATACCAAAATTCATCTAAAAGGTATAGTATTTTTATATGGCTCTCATTATTTTTAATTAAGCTTATTTACTACAGGATGTCTAACAAATCTTACCTAAAGAAAGGAAATTTAGAGCTAGCTATTGCTATAATCAGCAATGTGGAGGTATTTTCTTTGGCTCTATATTTGTAGTTTGAGGAAATGGAGGATTTTAAATAATTTTTTAAATAAAGGCATTTAAAATACAACCAGTATTTTACAGATAATTACAAAATGAATCATAAGTGGGTGCAAATTGAGTAATTTGATTAATTTCTAAGTTGACCTTTAGAAAAGTATTTGTCTAACATTTCTTAGTTGTTGTATTTTTATTATATCAAACTGAAGTTCCAGCCACTTAATTTCCATGTTGTTTTTAAAAATGAGAACTGCATTATGGATATAAAATAGTTTGTTTTATCAAATAACCATTTCACTTTAGAAACAATTTGAATTTTGAAACGTAATATGAATATTATCTTTGAATATCGGTTTCTCTTTCAAACAAGGTTTGCTTTTTTCAGGGTTACCTTACTCATGCATTCTTCACCTGTATATTTATCGAATTAAGGAATTATTTTGCAGGTACTTAAATTTATTGGTCACTAATAAAAAATAAAATACGCCTAATGGCAGTGCACAGCTTTCTTCAAGGTATGTGTCCTCCTTATAGGTAGCCTCTGACCTAGATTAGAGACCTCAACATTGCAGATATATAATGTGCATCCCCAGCAAAATTGCCCAGAAGAATAACTTCATTATTCTGGGAAGGTAGATCTATAAAACATGTAAAACGTAGCAGTATTCTGTCTATATGATTTCTGGTAAGTCCAGCATGACTAAGTGATGAAACCTGAGTCAGCTTCAGTTAGAGCATACCTTACTAAAACAGTTACTATGCCATGAAGGAAAAGGAAATATAGTGAGCCAAGGTGTCTCTTCTCTGAAGCAATGAGGTATTTTAGGTCTATAGAGTTCTGCCTCGATCAATGGAAAATTCGCTTTAGAAGCATTTACCGGTACAGTGTACCAGTAAGTCACAGAAACCCCAAGTTTTGCAGAATGATGAGAAGGAAAAACTCACCAGTACCACTGGACAGATTGTTGTGGGTGGTAAAATATGGTCCTTCAAAGGTCCACAGTCACATTCAGGTTTTAGATGAGAAGCACATTTATTATGCAGCTAGGAAAGGAGAAAGAGGACACTATCAAATTTTGCATGACAACAGCAAACATGGGCCAGATTATATTTCAACTGAGATACAGCAAATACATTAAAACGACAATAAAAGAATTACAAGAACAAACAAACAGGATCATAAAAGGATTCATATTACATTTGCTGTTATATATCTACCTTAAATAAACCATTTAGTAACTTCCATGACCCAACCTATATATTTTCTAATTCTCAGAACTGTTTATATAAAAAACGTACTTCAGATTTTACACCAAAAAAGCTTGATTTCTTTGACAAATATGCATTATTGTCCATTACAGTCCAATTCACATTATTGTCCTTTGCTTATCTGTTAGCATAATCTTGAAACCACTGTGTACTGTAGATGCTTTTTTTTTTTTGACCCTCCTGTTTTCTCAAAGTCATTCCAAAGTGCACAGCTCAGTATGGGGCATAATTGATCCCATCATTAGTTTTAACTTTGTAATTCAATATGTAAATGTAACCAGAGATTCATCTCAGTAGGAGCAGGATATAAATATAAGAAGATGATTATGATTATAAAAATTTATCTTTATATTATATTTATCAGCTCTACGTTGTTACTGTATAATCATAAGATGTGTGATTTAATTTTCAACATGTATGATCCTAAACCGATATTTTTATCAACGCTGGACACAAGTTTAAATTAAAATGTTACAACATACTGCATTAAATAGTGATTTTTTAAATTGAGATGATAGTTTTTATTGAAATCATACAGATTTGCTAAAGTTATAGTTGTTTAAAGGGATTTCTCCCTCCCTTAGTCCATATCAATTTAATATGAAATACTTTAGAAAAATTATACATGTTAATAAAATAACATATCTGTTTCAAAAAAAAGAAGGAGCTGCATCATTTTTCAGTTTTGAACCAAAAGCCACCCCATTTAAGTCATGGTTACATTCTTCCACAACAAACTTACCTTCGTAACAGTTAATTAGCAAGCAAGCATAGGAGTCTGATGAGTGTTGATTTACTGTTGGTGATAGAACTCTACTAAAGAAGTATTTCTGCTGTCCTTGAATCTAAAACATCTGTCGTGCTAACTCCCTACCTTGGAGTTAAGGCTACTTGTACTGTAATTAATGCACATTAGGCCACATTACAGAAACAAAAGTACCTTTACACACTCATCCATAATTAGCAGGTCTGCTTCTCAGTGGCATGTAAACTCCTTATAAAAAAGGAGTTTAATCTTCTTATCAGACACTGCTGATCTTTGTCAAGAGGCAAGAGATACTGAAGATAAAGAAGCAGTTGAAGCCACATGCAAAACAGAACTAAATAAATGAATACTCTGATTTGGCAAATGAAAATGCATAGTTTCCTCAAAATAAAATTAGTGACTGATTTAAATATATTATTAACTTATTGGACACGGTCAATTTTCTTAGAATAAATCACAGCCCTGGAATTTTGGATTTAGAGATAATGGATTATCAAGTGTTGGGTTGAACTGGGTCCCCAAAAGTTATTTTGAAGTCCTACCTCCTGGTCCCTGTGAATGTGAACTTATTTGGAAATAAGATCTTTGCAAAAGTATTCAAGTTCAGATAAAGTTATACTGCATTAGGTTGGGCCCAATCCAATGATTGGTGTCCTTATGAGAGGAGAGAAATCTGGGGGCTGGCCCCATGGCCGAGAGGTTAAGTTCACACGCTCTGCTTCAGTGGCCCAAGGTTTGGCCAGATCAGATCCTGAGCACAGACCCAGCACCACTCATCAGGCCATGCTGAGGTGGCGTCCCACATAGCGCCACTAAAAGGACCTACAGCTAGAATATACAACTACGTACTGGGGGGGCTTTGGGGAGAAGAAGAAAAAACAATTGGCAATAGATATTAGCTCAGGGCCAATCTTAAAAAAAAAAAGAAGAGAGAGACCTGCAGACAGACACGGAGAGAATAAGACCCTGTGACAACAGAGGCAGAAATCTGGAGGTGCAGTTGAAGCAAGGAACACCAAGGATTACCAGCAGCCACCAGAAGCTAGGAAGAGGCAAGGAAATACTCTCCCCTACAGCCTTCAGAGGGAGCACGGCCCTGCCGACATCTTGATTTTTGGATTTCTAACCTCCAGAACTCTGAAAGAATAAATTTCTGTTGTTTTCAGCCACCTATTTTGCGGTGCTTTGTTATGACAACCATGGGAAACGAATACACCAATCACCATGAAAACTGAACCAAAACCAAAGACAGACTATGTGTCTTAAGACTCTTCCGTGCCACGGGGTCACAGAGAAAAAGCTTTTGCTTTTTGGTCCCACACAACCTTTTTAAAACTGAGAATGCAGACTCTAAGAAGCCTCTACACATAGCAAGAGCCCAGATAAAAATCCCTGGGTGCACAGAGTGAGAAAGCATTGAATTTACTATTGCCTGCAGTTTGGAAAGCCTCGCGTGTGACTTTAAAGGACAGGAAGGCAAGGCGCTCTTGCCAGCACTGACCACAGATGCTCAGTTTGAGGCCCCAGCCGCCTCCAGTCCTCCATTCCATGTGTTTCTAACAATTTGCAACCGATATGGTAAGGGATGACTAATCTCTCACTATAGTTATTTGAGGGTTACCAGATGTAAAAAGAGATGGCAACAATAAAATGAATTTAATGACAGTTTTTTGGCCTTTAGGCTAGTTTCTCAGCCAAAAAGAAAGAACAGAGGACTCAGGGAGAATCAGAATTGATGAGCTGAAGAGAGTGTGTGTGTAGGGGTAACTCTTCTTATTGAGTCTGAGGGTTTCAGAGTATAGGTACCGGCAATTTGTCCCATAAAATAGTGATTTCTTCAGAGCTAAATAAAACTAGCAGGGGACTTTCCAATTCGATTGCCATGTGGCCCACGTCTCTGAGTTTTGTGTAGGCAGCTGCAAGGCAGAGTCCTACAGGAAGATATGCATGTAGCAGGGTCTGTAGGAAGGTTGGTAACCATATCACCCTCAGAGATACAGGGACACACAGTGCAAGAAAATTCTCCTATCCGAGAAGTCTGTATTAACTGATACTGAGCAAGGATGCCTTAGACTTTTGCTAAGACTGGAATCAGGCAGCTGCAAAATATATTTGAGTGGCCATCAACCTCATGACATTGTTTATAGAAAGAAGTGTCAAAGTTGAGGACGTCATGTTGGAACTACCGATCAGTCTAGAAACTGTGAGTCAAATTTGTATAGCAGGCCTGGTTTATTCACCATACTGCTCAGAAATATAGTTGAGGACAAAAATACAAAATGTGAAAGACAATGAGAAAATACTCATAGTGCTCAGGATAATTTATCAAGATTAAAAGTGAAAGTTACGTTTGCTGTGACTCTAAAACTGCTCTAAAAATAAAGTTTATTTAAAAAAAAGCAATATTAACAAAATAGAAACCGTGTAATAGAATTTAACAGCCCCCGCCACCCCTCAAAATATCTTAGGTTACTGGTAATATTGTTTCTTGATCAAGTGCTGATTACATGTGTGTTCATTTGCTCAAAACTCATTGAGCTCTTCCCTTAGGACATTTATACTTTGATGCATGTATACTTTTCAATAAAACTTTAAAAAGGAAGAAAAAGTGAACATAATCAGCAATAAAAAAAAGTTGCTTAAACGTGACATTTTAGAGACAAGGATATAAGAATAAGACACAGCTGAGTCCTGCTCAATGTCAGTAAGATGTCGAAGGCTGATAATTGTCTTAAAGATAACTCAGATCCCAAGTTAGTGCAGGCATAAATACGAAGATCCTCATCAAGAATAGAAATAAACTAGAGCATTGATGAATCCTGCTTCCTCAGTAAAGTGGCCAATGGAGCCCCAGAGAAAAGGAATTGTTACCTTTTTTAAAATGTTTTCATTTTTGTTCACAGTTATCTTTGTATTTTTTAAGGATAAGGCATAGAGATCCTTGGGTCATTAATTTATTATATGTACAGAAATTCTCATTCGTGTTAAGGGAATCAGTCCCGTATCTAGGAAACTCATAAAATATGAATCAGATTTTCCTGGAAGCAAATTAAACACTTGGAAATAATTTCAGAGTGTATGGCAATTTCCAACAGCACCTAATTTAGAGCCAGATCTATGTTTATTGGAAAAAGCTATCTCAAGTTAGAAAGGAAAAGAAAACATGTGAGTGTGTGTGTGTGCATGTGTGTATATTTATGTATAGAGTTGAGAAAAGAGTGGGGATTTTGTACTGAGAAGCAAGCAATGGAATCTAAGAATATAAAAGGAGGAAAACTACAAAATAAATTTTCATAAGAATTTGGAGGAAAAAAAAGAGGTCCTTCTTCTTTTTTTTAAAAAAAAAAAAAGATTGGCACCTGAGCTAACATCTGTTGCCAATCTTCCTTTTTTTCTTCTTCTTCTTCTCCCCAAAGCCCCACCAGTACATAGTTATACATTCTAGCTGTGAGAGCTTCTGTTTGTGCTATGTGGGACACCACCTCAACATAGCCTGATGAGTGGTGCCACGTCCGCACCCAGGATCCAAACCAGCAAAACCCTGGGCCACCAAAGTGGAGCGCGTGCACTTAACCACTTGGCTGTGGGATGGCCCCAGAAGTCATTCTTCTAAAACAAACAAACAAAACCAAATTAAATGGCCTGATTTAGAGGAACATTTGTTAGTTTACACATCCTTTTGTCTCTAACATTTTACATTTTCAGGGTGTTGCCTTCATGCTGGCATTTACCAAAGATAAACTTTCTATTCGAAAGGCATCAAAAACATTTAAACACTACTGTTAGGAGCTTAATATTTTAATAAAAATAGTAGCCTTGCTTGATACTAAAAGTAAATAATTCATAGCCGTAATATACTCTTTCTTTTGTCAAAAGAAACATATCACCCTCCTGTCTTGGTGAGTCCTGCCTGATCAGGGACAATTTACTACAACCAGGAGCAAATTACAACACGTTTTAAATAGAATGTCAAGGAAACACACTCACAGCAGAAAGGAACAGGTAGAAACAGTGGGGTCTAAGGATCAGGGAGCGTAAGCAAGAGAAGGAACAGAGAACCAATGAGGATATTGAGCCTGGCTGAAAGGACTGAATTATAAACCACAGGAATATGGTTGCCTAAATGTTACAAGATAGTTTACACTGTTCTTATTTAGGATTTTTCTGTTTTTATTTTTTTAAGTGGTTAAATTCACAAAAGGAGACAAAGCTCAGTTCTAAGATCTTAACTTCATACCTACAAGATGACAAAATAGTATATTAAGAAGCCACAACATTGACTAAAAAAGGGGTGTTAAAATGGGCTTTTAATCTAACTATTTGTCTAAACTTGCTTGTGTATCTGATGCAGATGTGAATATTACAGGATGATTTTTTAAAATAGAATTTTAAAATTCAATGTTTAACCGTAAGAAGAGTAGTGTCGCAGTCATCAAAATGAACTGATTGAGGACCTCCCCTAAACTCAGCACTCCCTCGAGAACGTTGGGCAATGAGAAAACAAATGTGTATGTTGGATCTGGAGCTGGATCAGATTGTAGTCTAGCAGTGTAGACGACATTAGCATATAGACATGAACCCTCACTGAAGATCATTTCAGTCTTTCCTTGTGGTGTGGAGCAAAAGTACAGAAAGTATTCAGAAAAAGGAAATATTAGTGTCAAGGAAGATTTCAAGGAAGATATGGAACTTAATTTGGTTCTTGAGGTGTGGTTAGAATTTAAAGTGGGTACATTAAGGGAACAGAATGAGTAAAATGATGGGGAACAGGTAAGCATGGACCTCCTAGGGTACTGCCAACAGATATGCACAGCTCCAGCAGGGGCTTGCATATTGGGAAATATTATATACTTCATGGGCTGAGGTTTGGGTCTGATATTTGAGGAACTGAAAACCAGGTCGGGGTAGGAGGAGGTGAAGGATGCATTTATTATCACAGAACTATTATAAGTTGCTGAAGGTGCCATATGATAACAAACGAGTATTTTCAGAAGATGATTCTGGAGGTGGTTTGCAGGCTGCATTATAGGAAAAGTACCTTCTGTTAGGGAGATAAGCCAAGAGATTCTGACTCTAATCTAGTTAAGAGGTGCTAAGAGCTTGCACTTGGGCTGTGAACGGTGGAGACAAAAACTCAAATCTGAGAGAGATATTTTAAGGAGGAAATCTCATGGCTCAGTGATAGGTTGAATATATGAGATAAAGGTGAAAGAAAAGAATAAAAGAAACTGACTTCTAACTCTATTTCCAATGACTGCAAGCATGATGACACCATGTCTGATAGAAAAGATAAAGTTGGAATAATTGCTCTTTGTGAATACGAATACATCAGCTTAGTCTAGGATTGAGTGAAATTCAGGACCACATGGTTCCGGATGCTTTTAGAACATGCAGGTGCCATTCTGACTTAGACAGGGCAACTACAGATCCTTCCAGAGATGACAGAGAAACAGCATGAGTAATATTCATGGAGTGCCCTCTGCGAGCCAGGGGTGGGGTTTTGTGCCCCCACGTAATATTTTACCTAGTTTTCACTCTGCTAATAATCGTCAATTACTGAGCACTCACTATAGAAGAGGTCCTGCTCTAAACACATCTACCCCAAATTTTTTTCACTCATTCATTTAATTCTTATAACAATCCTACAAGACAGGTATCATTAACTCCATTTTACAAATGAGGAAACTGACCCAAGTTTGCACAACTACTATCTTAGTTGTTGGACACACACCATTTTAAGAATCTGGTCAGTCTGGCTTATAAGACTCAAGCTGCTTCCAAAAGTAATATATAAAAGGAAGTAATGGAATTTGGAGAAATCCCTGAAATGAAGCCAAATTTCATTCCCTTCGTTTCTCTCTGTGATGTATTCCTCTCAAACTCCATTCAGATAGGCCTTCCTAACGCTCAACATTGATGGTGCCATATCCCATGGCTTTTACAGCTCTGCTAGCTCTTTGCTATATTAGTAGTACTTTCTGGGAAGCAGAAGGATATAAAGTAGATTCAGTTTGTTTAAAGGCAATCAGTGGTAGGTACACCTCAGTGAAGAGCAAATCAGATTTTCACCAAAATTTTCATACAGTGGTTCAAGAAGAAGCTATAGATTATACTAAATACATAAATGTCCTGAGGTAAATAAATTCTGTTTAACCTAAGCACAAAATCAATAAATTAATAAACGTGCCCTTATAATTGCTTTAAATAAAAAAATCTAAAGTGCACAGAGGCTGAAGTTACTTTTGAGAAGGTTATACATTCTTCTCGATATATGGAAACTTTGTGCAAGTCTTGTTTCATGAACCAAATAACCACGGGACCCCTGGAGATCATGGTTTATGGCAAATAAGGCTGAGGTTGACCAGAAGCCTCAGGACTTGGAAGAGCTTCATAAGAGGGCCACCATTTTGCTCTGACTCTGCCTTAAACCCCTCAGTGCTCTCCGATTAGCCTTTCTTCCTAAGTAGGACTCAGGGATTTAAAGACATTTGTAGATTATACTGTATTCTGCCAGTGACAAATAGAATCATCTTCATGTACACATTGATCTTTAGTTAAGAATAAGATGTTAGGGGCATATTGTTTGAACTGATTTGGACATGAAATCCTTAGATTTTGAAGAGCATAGTTTATTCAGAGGTAGTACCATCTTTCCTGTAAAAGGAGGGGCCTCATTTCTTGCAAGACTAGGGCCAGGTTCGAGACCAAATATAAATGTTTAACTGGGTAAGTAGTTGGACTAGAAATGTAGATTTTGGAGACACAGATGACAGGAATCATTAAAACAAAAGAAAGAAAACCAGAAAAACAAAGTGGAATATAAAACAAGAAAAGAATTTCAGGATGCTTTGAGTACCAATAAGAGACCACTAGCAATGGTAGTTTGAAGGAGAGTGATTCCCACAGAATGGAAAGGGCAAAAGATATACTTCATGAAGATTAAATGGGGAAAGGAGGAGAGGAGTCAAATCAAGAAAATTCTAAAAGCTCTAAAGGCTTTTGTATTAGGAGAGGCAGCAATACATACTTTTAGAGTGTTCAAGCTAAGTATGCATTTAAAACACATTGGTTTGATTTCAAGAAATAAACAAAAAGAAGAGAAAAATAATAAACCTAAGTTATTACATTTGAAATTTATGAAGAATGGGAAATTAACTTGAAATAAAAAAAGAAATAAAATTCTGATATTCTCTAAATTCAGTTCATATTCAAGATGTAGCTAATGAAAGATGCATTATATGGAGAAAAGAAGAGGAGCAGGCTCCTACAAGATCTGAAACAAAAACTCCATATTTTTATAGATGCTTAGCAGAAGAAAACTAATAGTTTTTAATGTGCATGAGTTTTTTAAAAAAATGAAATAGTTGTGGTCTTCTTAAAACTTAGAACTCAATATGCTTAAGTAATTCATGTGTGTAATTTAAATCATTGTTAGAAATTTTATTATAATAACCAAACACTTCAAAAAAAAGAAAACTGTCTTTCATAATTGAGGAAATTTCAAATGTAAATATAGTTTGGGTAATAGCTGAAAATGACTGAAGAAAATGTGTTCATTTAAAAAAAGTACTTAATTGTATTTTTGAAATGCAAGTCACAGTTTGTTTTTCTCATTATCCTGTGTATATGTCTGTGTCTTTAAGAGAGAATTTTTAATGGTGGTGGCAGGGTTTGAGGGGCACTACAGAGAAACTTATTTGTTTAAGTGAATCAGTGCTCTCTACTGTTTTATTTCCACAAAAGCAAGAACAATTTGTCCTCTAACAGGAGGACTCATATACTAGCTGGAGAAGAAAGCAAAACAAACAAAATGGGGGAAAAAACCAGTCCCATAAATGTTTTCATACTATTTGTCAAAAATGGCTATTCTTGATTAATTCCCAGAAATTAAACATGAAACACTAGAGGTAGCACCTACATTTATTCCAGAAGTTATTTGAAGCAGGCTTTGACAATCACGCAAACCAGGTAGAGTTCTAAAGTTTCCCAGGAAAGATCAATTTACATCTTCTTTTTCAAGTGTCAATACCATTAATGACCAGCACTTACATCTATATCTCTTATCCCTCAGGATATGATTTAACTGAAGGCAATAACAAGTCGTGAAGAAGGGTAAAGTGAGTTCTTAAAAGCATCAAGTAGTAAAACATGGACCCACTTGCATCTTTGTAGCCATGTGGTCAACAACAATGTGATTAGCTTTTCTTGGTCTTAGTGTCTTCACTATATAGTTAAGAGTTTGGACCACATTGTTCATTTTTCTACCCTTCTTTAGCCAGTAGATTCTGTGATTAAAATAAATTTACAACATGCAAAATGGAAAACTCTACCAAAATAGAGTTGTGGCGTGGAGGAAGAGCTGAGCTCTACCCAGTCAATATTCCACACTCATTGCCCACCCCTAGCTGTGGCTTCTGATTACCTTCCTGGTAACTTCTAGAACTCCATGGAGCACAGTTTGAAAAATGTATAATGTTTTCATCTCTAAGGTTGTCACTAGCTCTAAAATTCTGGATTCTAGGAGGACAAATCCGACTCTGACCCTTATTCCTTTGGGAGCCACATGAGCTAAGAAGCCTCTTTGGTGTTATGCTGACTTAGTCTAACATTCAGAATAATCTTCCAGGGTAGGACTCTCAGAGAGCATGGGATACACAGTTTTCATTGTGAATAAATGCTGGAGATTTGTTTTCTGACGTTACTCACTGTGATCTGACACCAAACACAATGCAGTCCTGTCAGGCCCTGGTAACATTTGACTGTTTTGTGGCACTTATCACATTTGGTTGGGCAGTTGCCTTCAACCCAGTAATGGTGCATGACCTAGAACAGAACAAGACCATTGCGGTAAGAGGAGGCATCCATACGTGCCACCCTCAGAAAGCAAGCACAGCCGCACACTTACATCAGTGTTCTTCTTGGACTTTACGTAAGTCTTGATGCAAGAAGGAGGCGCTCTAGCCACACAGCGCTCGTGGACTGTGTACTTGCAAACTGAAAGGAAACATGTACACAAATTCAGAGCTAATCTTGGTCCTGATTGCAATTTTATAGGGAAAGAATGACATTAACAGAACCTCATTTCATATCCACTGCTCCCTAATCAATCCAATCAGCCGCATCAAGGAAAAGTCCAAGTCGACTGTTTTTACCATGGAATACAAAAGGCCAATTAGTACAGGAAGTATTATGCATGTGAAAAACCAAGATCCTCTATCATGGCATAGCAGGAAATGCTTAATTAAATCAGGCCTCACTCAAATTTTTCACAATAATTCCCAGATGACAAAAATATTAAAGACAAATTGATGACTGCCAAATGGCTTGGTGTCATTTGCTAGAAGGCAGAGATCTATATTTTACAAAGTATAGGCATGAGAGCAGCTGGCAGGCCTGGGAATAAAAGCCCGTGAGTTTATGCTATTTTGTCTATTGATTTATCTAAAGCTTAAATGGCTGATTAGTTTATTTCCAGAGAATAGATTTTATCATACATGCCAGGCCTTCAGTAAAAGTTCATCCCTCATCTGCCATCATGGCACTGTTTGTCCAAATGGAACAACCTCTGCTAGGAAGCATAAGATAGATACAGATATATATACATCTATAGATATATATATCTATATATATACACACATATGCAAAATTTTATATTTATATTCAAATATGTATATATATACATATACAAACATACACGTGTGTGTGTGTGTATAGTGTGACATAAAACCAAGACATACACTTTGTCATTCTTCATTATTTCATAGCTCAATTCTAACATAACTTAAAGTCATATACGGATGCTCTTTTAATAAAACACTAGTTCCAAATTAAGAATTCTAAATGCATAAATATATGGAATAAAAATTAAATCAAAAATGACCATGTAGCCCTTTCAATAAAACAAAAACTAACTGCTGTATGCAATTAGAATGAAAAATACTCAATCCACATACTATTTATATATATAAATATTACTATATATACTAAAGTATACATATAGTATATATAGTTATACTATATATATATGGTAAAATTCTTACAAAATATCCAGATCTGTGATTTCCTTTGGCAACATAGTTTTCCTTCTCTTCAGTATTGGCAATAATGTTAACAGTATTGCATTCGTCACTAATCAGTTAAAATTTGTAAGGGAAATTCTCTCTTTCTATATGACATCACCCAACTTACTTGAGAGTTATCATTTTGTTTTGTATGCTTCCATCATAGAATCTACCATGAAAAATTCTTTCCCTTACAAATGATAGAACTGTAAAAACAAAGTACTTCTTTTGTCCACGAAGAATGTTCTAGTGTAACTAGCCTTTCAAACATGGCCACCAGAAACTGCCTTCTAAAGTGACACACAGCAATTTCACGTAAATGTTTAAAAATCTTTAAACACTTTAAAAAGTCACTTAAATGTGGCACTAAGACACAGTTTTTAATGTTAAATAATACATCTGACAGAAAGCTAATCCCAAACATACTACCAAAGAAGCCACTAGCTAAAAATAATATCTGAAAACTATATACTGTATGGAAGCCAGGCAAGAAATTTGACTTAATATAAATGCATAAAAATAGGATGTGTCTAATAAGCTTAACAGTTGCAAAAACTCCAAACACAGCAGAAAGGGCATGGATGAACAAGTTGCTAGACCATGGAGAACTTGACACTTACCTGAGAACACCGCAATATTCCCTCCGTTTTAAGAGGGGCATCAGGGAATATAAAAGTTTCTCGACATATATGTTGTTGATTTAAAAATACTTGGGTGACTTTTATAAATCAATAATAATTAATTATACTGTTAGCAAATTCTAATGGGCAGTCCTTACCTAATAGAATAGAATGAAAATTGCAAAGATAAACACTGAAATGAAATGAATTACCACAACTCACGAGTTGGCAATGCTTTGGGTTCCAATATCTATTAACCATATATGAAGATTTTCTTCATGATAGCATTAAAAATCATGGGCTTGAGGTGTAAGATTAGTTTGTATTCCTTGTGATTTCTTAATTTGAATGTGAATCAATAATCAACCAATTTAACTGTTTTTTAAAAGACCTGAAGGAATAGACTCATTATAAGAAGTTAATGTATATAGAGTGGCTAACAGAAAAAAAAAAAAAGATAAACATGAGTAAGATATAAATATGGGAAACTAGTGGAAATTTTTATAATAATCCCAGAAGAAATGAGAATCATGAATAAATTAAGCCACAGTGGAAAGAAAATGGATAACAAATTGGAAAATGTCCTTAGCTCTTTTCCAAGGGGATGGTTTCCCAAAATTGAAGGAAGTTAAAACTAGAGTGACCTAAACAATTGAAACATTCTGCAGGGAAATATAAATCACAGGTACAGGAAGGGTCAGGATTATTTCCTAGGTCTCCATAGACAAATAGGACTATTCCATGAAATCAAGGTTTCCTCACTGGAGGTGATGACAGCTGGGCAGAGCAAACATACTCACAGGAGCAGCAGAGGCCCTGCTTCCCCACACCGATCAGCATGTTCAGGCAAAGATTGCAGTAGGCAGGTTTGTTAAAGTGCTTGAGTCGCCACACATGCTGTCCGTCATCCTTCACGTTCTGCACAGGACATAAGAGAAACAGATTTCACTTAATGAAATAAACAGTGGAATATGTAAGTGCCAATAAAATTCAGAGCTGGACTGAAGCATTCGAAGACAATCTGTTATTTCATCCCGGACTTTCTCCAAGATCGCCACAGCGTCTAGAAAAACACATGTGCTCTAGTGGAATGAGATCCTGCTAACAAATCTCGGATGCTATAGCAACCCACAAATTCTTGTCTAATGTCAACAGTTCAACAGCATGTCCCAAACTATCATAATGACCTGCCAAAGTGAGCACTCCCTAAGAACAGGGACGTGTCTGCCTCGCCTTTGAATACTTTATCCTTAGCACAATTCCATAGACAAATAAACGAATAAAGAAAGAGAAAATACCCTTGAGTGGAAGAGCCTGAGAAATGAAAACTTGGAAAGAATATGTTAACCCTTACTTAGTAGTAGGAATATGCAAATTTCATGATGGTGGTTAGGTCTTGTAAGGGGGCAGAGGGATAGGATGGGATGGAAAGGAACAATACTTAAAGGTAAGTTATTGGTGATATGCTAAGGCTTCAGATGGGGATTGCTTATATGATATAATTTACATCAATATGTTTTTATATGTCTCAAATGGTAAATTTTAAAAGATAAACTTTTTACGGTGCCTAACTACCTCATTATTTTGTTCACTCCTCTTCTGTAAAATATGCATGGTTTTAATCTCATAGAAAGGTGGTAAAAATACTAAAACCGTATTACAGTATTTATTTATAACAATCACTATAGTTATTTGCTACAATAAAACTTTGAGTTTAAATTAATTCACATTTTAGCAAAACAACTGTAATTATTACCCTTCTAAGTAAAACTCTGTATAATATCATAATAGTTACTTCGTTAATAGGTATTTAATTATATCTACATTGTTCAAGATTGAAGTAAAATGAAATAATATTATGTGTATGAATCTCTTGAATTCCTTAAGAGAAAGTTAAGATATTAAATGAAGTTACTGTACGTTACTTTTGTATGCACATTTTCTCCACCCTTATGTAGTCCTTGTACACCAGTCAGCAGCTTGTATCAAACTCAGACTAATTTTAGACATCATTATTGGTATTCTATAGAAACCATTATAGGACATTTTTCAGGTTAGCCAAGTTGTCATATTTCTTAAAACACATTCACTTAATAATTTTTTGAGCACCTACTGTGTGCTGGCACTAATACAGATTCTGTAGTACCGGGACAATATGAACATGCTCAGATCATCTTGTTTCTCCTGACAATAACACATTGACAGTAATGCTTCCTAACCACTTCTTCCTATTCCCAGTCAAGAGATAAACCACCAGATTTGAAGTACCTGATTAAATTCATAGTAACTAATTCTTACATTAGAACCAGAAATGTCAAATTTGCATCATAATATGAAACATTAATGAAATAGCTTCCTAGGAGATAATTCTTTGTGGGTCTCTTGAATTTCTGCACATTTCGTAAGCAGAAGAACTGCCCTTTTTTTCAGGCTCTCTTTTCGAAGATGTTTGAATAACAAACCACCTTGGACAATAGAGATGCATCTCCCTCCAGAGGTGAAGCAAGTTTACTTACCGTTTAGTATAATAAAAATAATCTCTCCCTTCTAAGAAAAGGTTAAGTAGGTTTATCTATTGTACATTATAAAAGATTTAGTCTCCCCAAGCCAGGGGTTCCAAGCTCTGATGCTGTCCAGCAATTACTCGGGCAGCACTCCATTGCTCCTATGAGACCTTCTGGGCCAGGAGAACTCGCTCACAAATGAAGCTCCTACTGCCTGCTTGCTGTGAGTAAACAAGTACTTTGTTTCTGACCCAGGTGTCTCATGTCATTTGCCAGCATCTATGAAACTGTGGGGAGCTAACTTGTTAACTTGCAAGTAGGGTAACTCTCAGCCCCTTCACAGTTGTTCAAAACGCTCAGATTCATTCTTCTGGCAGAGGATTAAGAAGCTCTCAACAAGAACAGTTATGCAGAAGGAGTCACGGAGAGGACATCAGAAGACATTGGTGTTTCATTCTTCTTCCAAAACTTAAGAAATAGGCTCTGTAATAATTTCTGAATCCAGTTCTGGTTTGCTTGAGTCATAAGACTTCTAGTATCTTTATTATATGAATGGTATGCTTTACGTATTTATTTAACTTTACTATCTTTTGCAAACTGACTATATTTTTAAATTTCTATTCCTTCAAATAAGAATAAAACGGCCTGATGTGAAAAGTTTAAGTAATGGGGTTGTTAATTTTTTTTAAAAAATTGATAAAGTTAGCACTTCAATGCTTTTAAAAAAATTTTAAGTGAAAAGGAAAAAGGAAAAATCTAATTTTCATATGTATTACTGTTCTTATAATCCTTGTCATTATATTTTTAAATGATTGTCCATTACATGTGAATAAGCTTCATCCTGTTGAAGAGCACATATGGACTAAGTTAACTGGCATTTTCCTTATCAAAAAATAAGCAAGTCTGAACGTGGGTGTTCTGTCAATCAGAACACTTAGCCATGTTACAGGCTGCAACTGATGTACAAATCCATTACCCAGACATAAAATGCTTTACCAAAAAACAAATTAAATAGCTTTATAGCTCTTAGCCGGATACATTGCCAAAATATGCAAAGGATGAAATATGTATGTGACTTCAAGAGAAGAAATTGAAACCAGGGGCCAACTACTTCTCAGCAGTGCAAATTATTCTCCAGCTCGCTGGATTTTCATGTCTTGTCTTGTTTGTCTCATTTAGATCATAAACTTAGCGGGGGAGGGGAAGGCTGTCCTTTACTAGATTCTATCAGCCAGTGATGCGCATTCCTATTAGTACTTCTATTGCAAATAAATATTTATTGTCATAGAAAAAAATTTATTTTTATAAAAAAGAAATGAAGAGGAAATCTGGAAGGCTTGATTCCTGGCCTAGTACGAAAAGGTGGATAAGCCATTTCACCTTTCTTCTTATTTTCCTCTCTAATAAAATGAAAGGACCCACTTTCCTCTCCCAGGCCATGGTGTGAGTTTCATTACGCAATACCTGTGAAGTCAATTTAGCTCCTCAGAATACTGGTGTTATATAAACAGCAAATATTATTACCATCATTGGGTTGAGTTGTGTAACATCCCAATGTTTCAGCCAAAACATTTGAGAAGGATATTTGTAGGTTTACTGTACTTTATTTCACAAACATTTTATTCTCATGATTTTTCATTACCAGATATTATACTTCATAGAAATTTATTCCTGATATTTAGAAAACGCCGTATTTTATAATGAAGCAGCTCAGTTCTGTGCTGACGACAGAAACGTTTAATGAAAGCTCGGCATGTTCACACTGAGAAGGAGCTCCAGGTTCTTCCTTCCCTTTTAATCCTTAGAAGTCAAAAGGAGGTTTCAAAGGGAAGAATGCCCTTTGGAACTTTTTGAAACCTATTTCATTATCCTAGTAATTTCTAAAGTTTTAGTTTTTCCCTACATATATCCAAGATCACATCACACATAGTATTCAAGTGAACTGGGGCTATTATAAATAATATCATTTTTTAAAAGATCTCAAGGAGAAATGTCACTGAGGTCACAGCCAAAATGCTCTTACCCCTACACCTAGCCATACCTATGCTTCAACTGACTTCACTTACAACACACAGAAGAGCTAATGGTGCAAATTCATTCCAACTCATTAAATAATAAGCACCACTAAATTGCCTGACTTTTCTGTTCAAGGTCTCCAAAAAATTATAACATGAAAAAAACTGTTCTTTTAGACAAAAAGGTGAGCAGCATCAGGCCTAGGCAAAGAGAATGCAGAGAGCAGTTTTAAAATTGTGAGTGGTGGTGCAACCAACTGTTCTCTCCAGATCGCACTTTCTGACGTCAGGCTCAGACCCTGCCCTTCTTAAGGTTCAAATGCAAATTCAACACCACTAACACCACATAATCCTTTTCCTTGACTGACCCAAACTGGAATCTCAAAAACTTTTGCATTTATCCAGTTTCATAACTCTTTTCTAGATTGAGCAATATATAAACAGCAAAAGAACAACTCAACCAAATTAAATTAAATTAAAAAATTGAGTGTGAAACATTAGTTTACCAAATATAGCTTAGTCTGTTAAGAGTACATCATCTTCTGCTTTCCACCATACTCAGAAATTTCATCAGAAATCAGGAGGCAAAACAAACAATTACTTTTATTTTATTAATTCAGGCAAAAAAAAATGCATCCTAAAACATTTCAATTAACAGCAAAGTTTAAACAATATATTGGGATTAAAGACCAGTATTCTGGGAGCATATACAGTGAAATCAAAATATATATCCATTCAAAAACCATACAGGCCAGATGTGGGCAGAACAATCAAATAGTAAGAAAGTATCTTATTTCAAGCCAGACTCCTAGTTAAATGTGTATTCCTGTTTTTATGATAATATGAATTCAGGAATTTTCCTTCAAAAATCTAAAAATGATCCAAGATTATAGATTTCAGGAATTGGAGCATTATTAATAATCTTGTTCATCTAGGAAAAAGAACGTTTGAACTGAAAGAATATATAAAAGGAAAGGGATATTCTTAAACTTCTTTTTATTTGTCCAGAGAGAATAATTGGCTGGCACAAAATGACCTTGTTAGTTAATTACAGAGCCAGGGTGAAGACCAATTTGATAAAGTTCACTATGTTCTCTCTTCATTAGTCCTCATGACTTGCTGAGGTTGTCTAATTGAGCTAAATAAAAGTTATTAGATTTGTTTCTCCTAAATGACTAAAAGTAAATGAAAACCTTTTCTGTTTGTAATATGACAAATTAGTAGTAGAATAAATCAGGGTTCAAACTACGGCCCTTGGGTCAAAATGGTCAGCAACCTGTTTTTGTAAATAAAGTTTTATTGGAACACAGCCTTGCTCTTTAATTTATGCATGGTCTGTGATTGCTTTTGTGCTATACCAGCAGAGTTGAGCAGTTGCAACAGAGGCCTTATGGTGCTCAAAACCTAAATGATTTGCTATCTGTCCCTTTACATACAAAGTTTACCAATCAATGGAGAAGAGTTTATTGCTAGATCCAGTTATTTTAACAAGAAAAACATGTTCATTGAAAATTTAGATTTTTTTTTAAAAGTAATTCTTCAATGAAATGAATGCTGAAGGAGAAATGAGTAAGTCTCAGGTATAAATTTTTTATTGTAATCAAAATCACATATGCCACCCAAACTCTCAATTTTCTCTCAGATGTAAGAGACTGTACCACTTCATACTGGGGATCATGAAGTTTGAAGGACTTCCCATAAGACAAAGGAAATGACTCTTACTCTCTAGCATTTGATATAGAATCAAGTTCTGATAAACTACATTTCTCATTTTGGCACCAAAACAGATATTGTTTAAAATAAAGTAGCTTTTAAAACGCTATTGATGAAGAAAAATAAACTACAATGAAATCACAATTGCTCTGCCTTACATTAGAAGTGAGGATTACTCTCCCAGGACAATAATCTCATCTGGGTAATTTGGCTAGTACAACACAGTCACTTTCAAATACACTGTGGTATTTAACATGCACTATCAATTAGAATCTACTCCCCAAGCTCATAATTGACACTAGACAAGAATAGATAGGACAACAGAATAAGATAGGCCCCACAATAAACGGCTGGATTCAACCTAACGCTTCTAGATTTCCAATTTGATAAACCAAAGTGGAGGAAAAATGGCATCATGAATCAAATTCTCTACAGGTAATAAGATAACACATCAACTGCCTACAGAAAAGGAAGTAAATCTCAATTACTAAAAAAAGGCCCTCATCACTCAGTTGTCATTGTGTCATTCCTACTTTGTAAAACACTTGCCATACCTTGGAATTAAAAAGCTGTTTCTAACAAATAAATGCTGTGTTTTGCGATCATAATTCCATGGTTTATACATCTTTATTAAAGGACAATTTAAAACCTTTTTGGCTTTTTTCTTTTTTAAAAAGTGAAGGAAAAGGGATATTACTCTCAGAATTGTTCTTTGCAGGTGAAAAATCCAATCTCATATTTAAATTGACTTATAAATGTTAAACAATGTAGCCCTGCCATCTAGTGGCCATCACTGGGAACACAGCTTTGGAACACAGTTCTGGTTACCACCTTGAAACCCTAAATTGATTTTTCCTACTACACTCCAAAAACATCTCTTTTTACTAAAAACATGAAATACAAATTTAAGAATATGAATATAGAGTAAATTATGTATCATTAACCTGATGGGCATTAATGACAAAAAATTGTCATTCAGTTGAAATAAAGTTACTGCTACACTAGAAACTGACAAGGTATGGTATTTGTTAAAAATATTTTGAGGTAAATCCATACAGATTTGTGGACTATATTTACCCATGCTATTTTCATAACTTCACAAGTATCTATATTTATGAATCAAATTATAAAGAATTTCTAAAGCATAGTTTCCAAAGAAACACATCATTTCAGAATCTTTCTGTGATATTTAAAATAGAGATGACTAAGTCTCCATTACTACACTTTCTTGTCCAACTCCCCAACTACCGAATGGTTTACTTACTCCTTCCTGCATCTTCTCTCATTCTGTCATCCCAGAAGTTCCATAAATATTTAGAATAGACAAAATTTTAGTTTAAAAATATAAGATTCCCTTCTAGGGAGCCACTATAATTAGAACTTCTTGACTAGACATTTGACAACTATGCTTCAGCGTTAAGTATAAACTCAACCTTAAAACGTCAACATTTTGTCAATTTTCTTTGTTTTCTCCCAATAGTCTGATTTACATACGCTTTTGTTGGAGGTATATTAAACAAACAAATATTTATAATACAGAGATATATAATAAATTATTTAAAAAGACACTAGGTTGTGTATAGTATAAGAACATCAGACACAAGGAAATATTGCTTTATTAATTTTCAGAATGTAGAAATATATATGTATTAACATTAAGATCTATATTTATTATCTTTGTTTTAATAAGTTATTTACTTTGAGGGTAATTTCCTATACGTCACCTATTAGTAGTTTTTCTTTTCCTTCCTCTGACCATATCTAAAATCCCAAGGGCCTCATGAAGGGTAAGGTTAACCTGAATGCAAAAGAATTCGAAGATCTAAATGAAAAAGAGGCAAATGATCCTATCCTGAAGCCCAAACCTATATGTAAATACGTACAAACGTATTTGCAATACTTTCTCACATGTTTTACAAACACAGACTGTAAGATTTCTTGAGGGCTGATTTTAAAATCTTGGTATCTTGAATAACCATGGTATAGTCGAATCTGAAAAAGTGTTACTGCTAGTAACAAGAAGTATGAAAGTTTTTGGATCAGCAGCAAAGTGGTAGACACTAGGTTCTTGTACCTCAAAACTCTAAATATTGTATGTGTCATGGTGCTTTGCATCAGTAACACCCTTTCAACCTGAGGATACATTTTACTGTATGCATGTTACAGTTAATCTTGTCTAACTATTAATGCTAAATACAAAAATCTAGTATTGACTCATTGGATTTTTAAATTAATTGTTGCTGAAATTCACATCAAGGCTGGGGCATCAAGATTTGGTTTCAAAGTCACTATCATATCACATTCTGAACTTAGGTTGATCTATATTATCCCCCCAAACCAGTATTTAATTAGCACTGGAGGCACTCATATAAGAAAATTTTTGACAGGCTTACAGTGAAAGCCTGGCTGATCTGCTGATATGTAAAAAAACTTATGTTTGATATATATATCTCTATAATTTTATTGCATTTATATATATCTTATGATATATGTCATGATATGATATATATCATGATATATATATATATATCATGATATATATATATATATATCACCTCTCAACAATCTTGGTATATAATTGGCTTTTCCAAATATAGGTTATCAATAAACTTTATCTTCATGGGGAAGGGGAATACGGAATAAGATGGAGCACCAGAAGAGCCACAGAATGCAATAATATTGAGAAGTTTCTTGCATTAGTTAAAATGAGACGGTCAATAATTTTTTTAACTAGATTATACTTTAAATTGAGGGAAAAAACCAGAGAAATTGTGTATTAAATAATAAGGTAATACCTAAAATGAGTCAATATGTTCATGGCAAGTATTACTATACAAGGAGTCATGGGTAAATTGCGCGGTGGCATACTTATTAAAAGGTCCAGGTACTAACTACATGTTTACTGGTAGAAAATGGCCATATGAATTTATAATCAAAACGTGTAATAGAGAACCCCACTGACTTACCACCAGGCCACCCACTGTGTGTTACTACTCACATTTTCCAAGCCCAGAAGCACAAGAAGTGGAATTGTTGTCATTCCTCCTTGGATCCATTCCTCCAGAGAGACCGTTCCATCATGATCATAGTCAATTTCTTCCATCATTTCATGGAGGATCTGGAGTGGAAGAGATGAGGGAAAACTTGCAATGAATCAATAAAATAAATTTCATATGATACAACGAAGCATTGCGCTGGTTATAAAAAACTATGACTACTAGCTAAGTGGAGAGCGACACAAATATCTGGGTAACTCAGTACAATGTTAATCCTATTACTGAGAATATAGTGGCTTTGTTATGATTTCTAGAACCTGACTACTTACACTGATCGCTTTTAGAAATAATTGTTTAACATTTCAATATTTTGTCACTCAGTGGTATGGCTAAAACAAGAAGGTATCTTTAATTTAAGGATGAAAATGGTCTTTAATTGCTTTCTCTAGATTATTTTTTTTAATTCAAATATATGCCAGATAATGTCTGAACAAATTAACTTCATGGCAAAGTGCTGAAGTAATTCTTTGCTAAGTGGTAAGGAGTGGGGGAATTAAGTTGCTTTTAATTGCCTATCAGAACTTAATAGAGCCAAGAACTTAAACGATCAAGTCATTTTTGATTAGATTTCTTTTCTAAAGATGACTTGTACAGTGACCGAAAATGTTCTGCACAGTGTGTGCTTGTAATACATTTATCTCTAGGTCGTATAGAGTTAATATCAGTATTTAATTCAAGGGATTCTCTGAGAGTTAAATGTGTTAATATATTATAAGTATCTTCAAATTACATCTAGCATATATCGTGTCATGTAGGTGTTGTTAGTGTTACATTTGCAGAATTTATATGAGTTGCAAACGTGTTACCCTTGGCTGCTGGGAATGTGAAGTACTTCCCATCTAAAGGCATCAAAATGGCAGACCAGGTGGAGCTCTGGTGAAGAAAGTAACTCACCATCTTTATCTAATACGGAAACTTTCATCAGTTTGGCAAAAGAAAGAAATACAGAGAGCATTAGAACAAAAATTTGAAAAGGTGCAATAAATGGAATATTTGACACACTGACAGAAGTGTTGTTTGCCTGAAAGTTCCTGAATTTGGTCGATTGGAGTTTTCTCAGGAAGCATTTGAAAATCAGATTATTTTCCTTCATAAAAGCAAACTTATCTATAGGCATTCGAAAGAAAGAGGCTTTTTGGAACAAAATGATGCTGAAATAATTATTTCATCATTCTCAAAATGAAAAACAGGGGAAATTATTTAGAATTTGGCAGAATGGTGTAAGAGCTTGTTAAAATGTCTTGCCCCTTGAAGGCACTCTGATGAAGTAGTAGAAATGAATAAATGAGAAGAAAACTAAAAGACAGAGTATTTGTTTCAGACGGCTAATGCTTTCATTTTGTACCTAATAAATCTAATGTTAGAGCCTGGGTTCGTTTTTGAAAAACTTCTTCCAAGAACATGTCAGTCTTCCCTACTAACTGCCATCAACCTCAAATGTTCAATTCTCTTGATTCATATATGCAAACTTATCAGAGATCTGACAATGTGTACAAAGTACACACGTTTAAAATGGGGAGAGCTGTTGCATCATTAGGCAGGATGAGGCAGTTACTATGGCAGTAAACACAATGCACAGTAAGTCTTTGATCTTGACTTTCTACTATTTATACCACGTGGAAGTGGCAGACAGCAGTGTGTGCAATAAATGACAAATAATGTCATATAGTTTATTATTTGTATTTTCCCGAAGTTATTTGTCATAACTAGACTGCCCAGCCACAAATCGTTCCCTTCCTTACAGCATCCAGATCCCCCTTTTCTCAAATGACACTCTCCCCAAATCCCCTGCCACCCCAAATATTTTTTGTTGAGAAGTGGTGATGCCTGCTTCTGCTTTGGAAGCTGATAGAAAAAGATGCCCCTTTCCTCTATCACTCCAGTGAGGACAAAGGTGCTTGATGGATAGATGAATAATACTCATAGGTATTAAGGTGAGTAGGATGAAAGCTGTTTTAGATTAACATAACCAAAAAGGGCAATAGAACTTATAAGCCCCTTGATTTCAGTGAAAATAGTATTAACATGAATCAAGAAGTATTCTCAGAATGAAATACATGTTGCCATTTACCTTATTATTCCATATATGAACTGCAACTTTAATTATGTGCACAGCATGTGCATTTCCATATCCAAAAAAGGAAAAACCAGCTGAGTGAAAACTAGGAAAAACCCCAGTCCCAGTAGAAATGGTGGTCTCCTTTGTACGTGACATTGCACATGACTTCATGGTACTTTATTGGCATTAGTTTGCCAAGCAAGGAAAATGCTATCAGAGCTCTCGAATCACATAATCATGCCATTATCATGCTGTTAACTGCATAAATGTGAACCGTGGTTAAAGAATAAGCTTTCTGAATTCATATAAAATCTAAACCATTTAAATAAAATTGATGTGTACTTGTTTGATTCATGTACAATTTGCTAAACTTAGTTTCAAAAATAAACTAAAATCAACAATACATCAACTCTCCCAAAAATATTACTTGTGGCTAAAGTCAAAGTTTCTGATCAAGTATGTTTTAATATACATTTGAATAATGTTGTAACTTTGGTATAAGTCTATTGAAAATGAGAAGTTTTCATATTCTTATAAGCATTGTTAGATACTATTTTTCTAAATTTCTAAGCTCTATCTTTACCTAGCTGAAAAGCTTTGGGCAAGTATCTTTAACATTTGGGGGTCTCAATTTCTTCAAGTGTAAAATGCATAAAATGGTAGTATCGACCTCAGAGAGTTACGAGCAGTAAATACCACATATACCCAAGATAACACAGTGCACTGTGCACAGTAAGCTATCAGCATCATCTTCTTAACCACTTCATCCTCTTTTAGAATGAATATTTTAGCTATTTCCATATAAGGAAAATCAGAGAGATCATAAAAAACATATATCAATTCTGACTTTTTTTATGGCACAGCATGACCTTGGCAGCGTCCATCAGCAGCTTCTATTTACCTACATGTATGCAAGATTGCCATCCAAATTAATTTCCATGAGGAAGAAAAGCAGAAGTTACTGCTAAGAGGTTCAGAATACCATATATACCTTTTCTTGCTCAAGATCCAATTTACCCACTGATTAGAAATAGGAACTTAGAGTTAGCAAAAGAAAAAAACAAATGACAGTGATACATTAGGGTGCCAAAATAGACAAAAGAGAAAGGGAACTTCTGGAATTTGGTCAACAGTTAAAGCATTCATATACCTACTGGATTAAGTTCAGTGACATCCCATTCAAGGTACTCTGCAACATGCATCATCTGACTGATGATGTTTTCTAGCTCCTGGAGGAGAGAGAGACAGAGAGGGAGAGAGAAGGAATACAAGTTCTAAGGAAGTTCTTGAGCTTTGACTTACAGGAATTATTTTGTTGAACGTGTAAAGAAGTTATAGGATTAAATTTATAGAAATATAAATTTCATATTATTTGTATTTATATTATAAATATATATATTTATAATAATTATAATTTATATAATTCATACAATAAAATAATTTATGAAATAAATATATGTTGATATTATTATATATTAACATATTATATATATCCTTTTTAAAGGTCTAATTATACATAAATGACGAGCCTAAATGTAAATTCATTTTGTACTTAGTCTAGAAATCTTCACCAGTAGAGGGCGCAACGATACAAAGAAAGATTTTCTTCCAGGAGACGAGACATAAGGAAGAAAATCATTCTTTGGCAAGGAGTGTCTGACGAAAGTAGGAGCACACATATTTTCACATCTTTGCCTCCAATATGTGAACTGTTACGTCTTTAAATTTCCAAAGAATGAAAAGGAGTGTCTGACGAAAGTAGGAGCACACATATTTTCACAAGATGTGATTTCTAAGTCACTGAGTGTCCTGATCTTTGGGCTTGAAAATAGGTGTGGAAGGGTAGAAAGAAGTGTTTGAGGGCAACTGAGCAGTTTATTTTTATTCTGATACACTGAGAACGTATATAGACTTTTCCAGCCATGTACTGGGATAATTCACTCTGCTAGAGGTATGTTTGGGATGAAGGTTTGGAGGCCAAGTACACGTAGAGTTTATTTTATGTGGAGATAGAATTTTAGTTTGAAGTTTTACATTATTCCGCACAAATGTCAACTCTTTGAAGAACTGTTAGTTAATGGGTATACGGCTGGGCTAGAAATTAAAACTTTTTTATACCTATTTTTTAATGTTTTAATTTGTCCTTATCTCCAGAACAGAGTAAACATACTTTGTAAATGCTAGTAATTTTAAATGCAGCCAACGACATAATTAAAAGTGGTGTTTTATAGTATGATAATTGAAAATACAAGAAGTATATAAGAGTAAGGCTTGAAGCATATTAATCAAAGATTATTGTACTCAAATTTCTCATCTAATATATGTAGTTAATATTCCTGGAATGAAAAAGGAAATATGGTAAAAGCTGTTTTCTTTTAGGAGGTCATGGATCCCTCTGAGAAACTGATGAAAGCTACACGCCCTCTCTCCAGAAAAAGGTAATCATGAAAATGTTATTTATGTAACACAGGTTGCCCCAGAAACAATATGAATATAAACATATTTATTACAGATAAGAAAATTTTTAAACACCAATCGTTTAGAATTATAGGCTGGAATTGTGTGTGTGTGTGTGTGTGAGTGTAGGTGTGTGTGTGCTAATATTCTTTCACCTTCTCTATCTTTGCTTATATACGTCTTAATGGTTTGGAACAGTTGAAGTCCCTGGACATGTTTTTAGGAACAGAAACTATTTTTGGTGGACTATTATTTAGGCAAGTGACATTAGATAAGTCATTTAACCTAAGACTGTTTCCTCATGAGTAAAATAGATATTCTAATCTAAGTTCATAGAATTTCTGCAAAGATTAACCATGCTATTACATGAAATACATTTATCTTGCCTGGCAAATTGCAAGTGATCAATAAACATTAACGAGGATTATTAGACACAGTGACCATTTTTCAAAGTATAAATTTTCCTCTGATTTGCCTCCAATATGTGAACTGTTACGTCTTTAAATTTCCAGGACAAATGACATCAGAAGGTGCAATTTCAACCTGACATTGAACAAAATACAATGGAGTCATGAGTTGTGTGGAGAAAACCATAAAAATTAAATCCAGACATTTAAGTACAAAAACGAAGAGTATAAGTACAAACAAATTTATCTGTCTCCTACTTATTGTTTAATATTGGGAATATAGTTTTAAATATTGCTAGTAATCTACTATATGTTAACAAAAAAATGGCCAGAGACCAAAAAAAACCATTTGACTGAGTTTTCAAATCAGCTGCCAAACCATGGCTAAAAGCCTAGTGAAGAAACATTCTTTTAATTTAATTAAAAAGAAATATTAAATAGAACAAATCTGCATTAAAAATATAATTTCCGTTAGTGTAGTCAGAAGTGCTACAATAAGCATATTGAAATATCTAGAAGAAATCTGAACTCCTAGCTGTGAAATGCCACCAGAAAATGAGCAAATCTATCTTGCAGCTTAATATTCCTACATGGAAAACTGAACACTACTAGACATATAAAAATAATAGCATTTGCAAAATGAGAGACTTAAACATGGGAAATCCCACAATCACAGCCTCAGTTCAGATTGGGGTTCATTTCCTAGAGCAGGAATGATATACTTTTTCCCTCTCTGGAGAAGCTGCTGTACCATTATCCTCCTCAGCGTTACACAAGTACATCTCCAGATTCACTGCTGTGCTTCTAAAACCCTATTGCAGTTTTGCCTTCGGGAGGGACATCAGAGGATGAGAGAAACTCACTTATTATCAGAAATAGTGTTTATTTTAATCAATATTAAATACATTAAAACATTTTCTTTTTAATATACCTGTGTACTTCAAAATTTTCATAATGTGACACATTCTTTTATTAATATTCTTCTATTTCCTTTATAGAAGAGGAAATAATGTAATATGCAAAATATGTTATTAGTAAATATAAAATAAATTATTGGATGGAAGCTGAGATGGATTTACATGTGAGACACTGATTTGTGCAGTAGAACTAAGAGTCTAACTACTTCTCTGAAAACTATCAATGATTTGCCTATATTACAAACAAAGGAAACATCCAAGTATTCCTTTCAGTTAATCATACAGAGATGACATTTTTTCTTCTATTGCTTTTTATGAATAAAACTGTGGATAATGTGAGCTGCATTTAAAATTGGATGAGACATTTTAAAAAGGAAGTTTCTCAAAGCAATTTGTAAATATATTTACCTATTTCAACAGCATATATGACTAAGAACACTTTTAAAAAGTAGGAGAGTAATAAAATGATTAAATTGACTTTATAATTCCTCTAATTTCTACTCGTATTCTCGATATTTTTCTTACTCAAATCTCACTGATTTTTTTTTTCTCTCCACATCAATGGTCTCAACTTTCTCTTATGTTTTATTCACATGAGGTTGGAGTCTTCTTTATCTTTCAGTGCATAAAAAGTCATTTTTTAAAGTAAATTATTCAATACAACAATTGTAATCCTAACAGTTTCCTCAGATCACTCTCTTTCAAAAAGTCAGATGTTAAAAATGCTGTGTGAGTGCATGGAAATTATAGTAAGTGTGTCTTCAGTGGTAATAGCTATAAATTTATTCATTGCATTTTCCAGAACAAACTACTTTGAAATTTTCACAGAAAATTCAAAGAAAAAAATTACCGAGCTGTCCAGGAAGCCATTCCCATCTGTGTCATAGAGGCGAAACATAACTAGAATAAAAGAGGTGTTGAAAAAAAGATTATAGGCGAGTAAGATCAATGTCCGTATAAGGCATATTCTTTAAAATTTATTTCCTGTTGAAAACGAATACCAAATCCATCCCTGCTCAAAGCAATTGATTTGAGAGGGTCTTTTCTCAAGATACGCTGAAAATGAATTAATCAGTTAATAAAAATATTGGATATCAGATATAAAGTCTATCAATTTTTGTTACATAGCTAGAAAACACTAACAAGTACTATTGTTTGTTCAAATTCTTTATTATAAGATCATTAAATGGAAACTGAAAAAAGAATAGAAGAGAATGAATTTAGACATTCAGAGTCTGGATATTAAAGCGCAGAGTAGATGAGAAGAAATGACCAACTTGGAGGTCTGGAAATCAATTATAATTTGAATCCACCATCCGCTATTATGTGAGCTGAGTCAAACACTGTTTTCTCATCTGTGATATGAGAATAATCACCTTGTCATAAGACACCCATTTGTTTGAAAGTTAAGTGAGAGGATAGACACAAATGCATATCAAAAGCCGTAGGTCACTACACAAATATAAGCCATTGTTTTGATTGATCCACAAACAGTACGGGAAAGGAAGGTTAGTGCAAGATAAGGGAATTTTTCTGATGGAAGATGGTAACACATAAAATGCATTATTATAATGGTGTCTTTGTTTAAATCTGAGATGCAGTTTCATAGGGTATAACCACTCTTTGAACTAATCAAGCAGGAAAAGGAGAGTGCTCTCTTTGTGGCAGTGAGCTGAGGAAAGAAGGATGACTGAGGTGCATGACTGGCCTGAGGATTCCCTTGTATAATTCACACACCACCAGGAGACTACAGAAGAGGCTGCAGGAGCCATTTGGAGATAAACAGAAAGAACAACACAGCTGTAAAAATAGAGGAGTAGAAGTGAGGTTTGTGTTGGGTTTGTATAATTCCCTGGAGAATCTTGATATCTGAGGTCTGTAATACTAAATGAAGACATTGATAACTGGAGGCATAATTATGCAATGACCTCGACATATATCTGTAACTAATTATTATTTTTGGATTTAAAAATAATTATATTCTATCAATTCTAAGATAGGATTACTTATAAGATATAAAGCTAGTCTGTATATCAGTAAAAGGAAAAAACGCTGGCAATGTGCCTATCATCTTCTATTTACTGTAAAATGAAAACAGACTTTAAAGATGTTAAAATATAAGGAGAAAATGCATACATATTGAATTAAGAGAAATAATGTTAGCCTGGCTAAAAGATGTTAAGATCCTCATTTGCAAACCGTGATGATTGTTGGCTGTCATATACTCAATAAATGGGAAGAAAATTCAGAAAGAAAAAAAACCTACCACAATGTGGATACTGAGCATGTCCACCTTTTCTAGTCCAGCAGAAAATAGTAAAAATATCTTTGTAAGTGACAAGGATTCACACACCACTCAGAGAATGGGTTAAGTACCAGGAACAAAGCAAGGACTTACAAAAGCCTAACTACATTTTAGAATGAAGGACACTTCTATCTCTGTCAATCCTTATTGGAGTAAATGACTGCTAACCCATTTCATAACAGCTCACATATATGGACACGCTATGCCTATTAGTAAACTTTATTGGAAACATGAGCTCAAAGACATACACACAAGTTGGGTGGTTGTGTGGGTATCTGTGATTCATTTTGGTAGCCTCTGAAACTTCTTCCTACGGTCTAAAAGCTACGCTTTGCAAAGCACAATAACAGATGAAATCCCAGATACCTTTTATTTACTAGCCTGACTTGAAGATAGAATTTGTACACGACCCAAGCTCCACCAATCAGAAGCACGAGCCCAGACATCAATCAGATGCCAGTGACCCATGAAAAAAGGGCTGCACAGAATCCATTCTGGTGATGGGAGGCAGCAGCAGCAGTAGCAGTGATTGAAGAGAGAGCATCCAGAGTCTTGGATGTTTCAGGGGTGTTGGCATTGAAAGATGTTCCGTCTGTACAGAGAGGCAGCAATGGGTTTTTTCCCCAGTCCAATTTAGTATGTACCTAGTTTAGTTATTGCTTCAAACAAGAAGCCTCCTAATCTGGTTCTCTGACTCTCCTAATGATTCTGTGTGCTCCTCAATATAATTTAAAAAGTAGTAATAGGGGCCAGACCTGGTGGCCTAGTGGTTAAGTTCAGCACACTCTACTTTGGCGGCCCAGGGCTCAGTTCCTGGGCACGGACCTACACCGCTCTGTTGGCAGCCAAGCTGTGCTGGCAGCCCACATACTAAAAAATAGAGCAAGACTGGCATGGATGTCAGCTTAGGGTGAATCTTTCTCAGAAGAAAAGAAAAAAATAATAATAACCCGCTTGTTAAAAAAATAAACAATTAAAAACTAACCTGTTTCTCTGTCTCTCCCAGTGATACTGTGCACTCAACATTGATTTTAAAAATGAACTTATTGAAGTATTACACCTATAGAGAAGTGTAACATTCAATAAATTATCAAAGTGATCACACCAATGTAACAAGTTATCCAAGTCAAGGAATAGAATATTGCTAACACAACAGAACCCCTCTCATGCTTCCTCATCATTATTCCTCTCCTTTCCCCAGAGATGACCACTATCTTGACTTCTATATGCATTCTTTTGAATGTAGCATCATTTACTGAGCATTATGTTTTGGATCTTCATCTGTATTCTTGCAAATAACATTAACTCATTTTCTTTTCTGCATATTATTCCAAAGTACAAAAATACCACAATTTATTCATTCTAAAATTGAGAGATATTTAGGTTGTTTCCAATTTGCTATTTCTAAGTAATGCTGGTGCGATTTCAAACAATTCTGCTATAAACCTTCTTGGAAATGGCTTTTATGCTTTGATGAACATTTGCCAGTTGTTTATAAACCAGTAAAAGGGAAGGAATCTCTGGGTCATAGGATTTGCAAATGTTTATGTTTAGTTATATTGCCAAACATTTCAAAAGTGGTTTTACCAAACTAGATTCTCAACAGCAGTCTATGAGAGTTCGAGCTGCTCCACATCCTCACTGACATTGGGTATTATCAGTCTTCTAATTTAAACCATTCTGGTGGAGGTATAAGTGGTATACCACTTAGGTTTAAATTCCATTTCCCTGATTATTAGTGAGATTGAGCTAATTTTCCTATGTTTATTGTCCAGACAGGCTTGAATATTCCCAGCATATACCAGACCTCTACTGTTCAAGGTCTAGCCTATCTAACTACAATTACGTGACAGACCTACAGACAGAACTGCTCAATTAAGCTTTTTCCAAAATTCTTACCAAGACACAAAAATGAAAGACAATAAAATGAATGCTGTTGTCTTAAGCCATTAAGTTTTGGGAGTTACTTGTTATAATAGAAAAAGAAACAGTATGGTTATCCAATTATCCAAGTATTATTACTGGAAAGGTGATCTTTACTTGCTCTGCAGTGCCAACTTTGTCATAATCAAGTATGCTTGTAGGTTCCAGGCAGTTTCTGAATTCTCCATTATATTCCTTTGGCTTATTTGCCTGTTACTGCTTCAATACCACACTGTCTTAATTACTGCAGCTTTCAAAACTATCTCGTTATGCAATCAAACATATCCTCTAACTTTGTTCAATCTCAAGATTGTCTTGGCTTTGTTCAATCTCAAGATCCTTGGCCTTTGCATCTACATATAACATTTAGAAAAATGTTTTCCAACCCCCCTCCCTCAAAAACAAACAAAATGTGCATTAGATTTCTATTGAGTTTATCCAGCATCTATGGATCTATTTGGGGAGAATCTTTACAATGTTGAGTCTTCAAAAACTAAAACCATGTTATATTCCGCAGTATTTAGATCTTCTTTAATTTCTGTTAATAATATTTCATACTGTCCTGGGTAGAGGTCTTTCAAATATTTGTTAAAGATTTTTTGCAGGCACTTAATAATTCTGATGTATTATAAATGATAATTTTTTTCAATTTTATTTTTTATTATTTATTGGTATCATATAGAAATATGTGATTTTTATTATTACTTTGTATCCAGAGCCCTTGCTAAACTCATTTATTAATTCAAATACTTTTCTGTAGATTACTTCGGATTTTTATATGTAAATAATCATATAGTCCATACACAATGACTTTTAATTTCTTCCCTCTTATCCTCATAAATTCTATGTATTTTTCTTGCTTTATTGCCATGGGCAATGATCTCCAGCACAAAGTTGAATTAAACTTAAGATACTGATCATTCTTGTCTTGTTCCACTATCAATGGAAGTATTTGCAACATTTCATTGCTAAATATGAAGCTTGATGCAAGTCTGTTGTAGATATACGTTCTATTCAAGAAGTTCTTTACAATTTCTAAGTAGGTAAGAGTCTGCTGTTGTGGTTGTTTTGTTTTTAATAGTGAATAGATGTGGAATATGATCAAATAATGTAATTATTTTATAGACATGATCGCAAAAGTTTTCTCCTTTATTCTCTTAATATGGTAAATTACACTGTTTGATTTTCAAATGTTAAACCAAATTTACATTTTTGAAATAACCCCAGCTGGGATCTGGACATCATATATTAGCCACTTTTACCTATGTAACTAGAATTGAACTGCTAATATCTTGCTCCCACTCTTGTTTGCTAGAAGATTATCCGTACAACTATTGTTTTTAATTTCTTAAATTAAATGTTTACTGTAACACACTGGGAAAGACATCTGGCCCTGGACTTTATTCTGAGTGAAAGTTTCATTAAATCAGAGATTTAATCTATTTAACAGATATAAGAATATTAAGACTTTAAATTTCTACTTTGCTCGGTTTTGTTAAGTTGTATTATTCTATGAACATATTTTTTAACTTTAAATTTTCAGCTAATTGCCATAAAGTTTTCCATAAAATACGTATTATATTTTTGGTGTCTATAGGATTTGCAGCAATGTCTTAGTTTTCATTTCTTTGTTGGCATTTGTACGCTCCCTTTCTTTTTTTTTTCCCCTCAA